AATAATAATTTTCTTTTAGGTCGTCGTTAATTCCGAAAGCACACAATATCAGAAATTTATTGCCGGCGCGTTTTCAAAAATCCCGCGCATTCTTATTTTCTAATTTGTACTTATTTTTATTATGCGCATTAAATTGTGTGAAAAGTTTTACTGCGCATAAATAACTTTAAACAGCCAAATAATAGTTATTATTATTCACAGTTTTAAAAATCCCGCGCATTTAAGTTTTCAATTTTGTGATTGTTTTATGTTGTGCGCCACATAAATTAATTCCTATGGGTCGTTATTATTAAAAAAAAGTTTTCAAAAAAAATCATTTCTGTTATGAATTTTATTCTTTTTTTTAATGATATACATTGACTCGTTATTATTATGAGCATTTATGAGCAAAAAAATCCCGCTTAATTTTTCCTTTTAATTATTTGCTTCTCTTATTGTTCTATGTGTACAAATGTGCCCGCCCGAAAGAATCGTTATTATTATTAGCATTTTCAAAAATCCCACTTAATTCAATTTTCAATTTTAGGCTTCGATTTTTGTTCCATCTATAGCACGAACAAATCCGAAAGAATCATTTCTATTATTATAGGTATTTTTAGAAATCCCGCTCATTTCAGTATTGAATTATCTTTTCAATTGTTTGATATTTATTGTACCAAATAAAACCAAAATTGTAGTTCGCAAATTTGTTGTGCTGTTATTAAGTTCGACTTTAAATTTTATTATATATTATTGCGAAGTACATTGTACTTTGTTTTTAAAAATCCCGCGCATTTCAGTTTCGAAATTGTTGTGCATCTCAAAAATAAAACCGAGATAGTCGTAATTTTGAAAAAATTCTGTTAATTTCAGATTTAATTTTTTTTTTGGGTATGCATATTGCATAAATAAAACCCAAAGAGTCATTACCATTAAACGTATTTTCAAAAATCCCGCGTATTACTGTTTTCAATTTTGTGGTTTTTGTTTATTGTACGCCACATGAATAAATCGGTATTATTAAACACGTTTTCGAAAATCCCGCGCAATACAGTTATCAATTTTTGCACCATGATTTTATTTTAGCAACGTGCATCGTATGAATAAAACCGTAAGAGTCGTTATTATTATGGCCGGAAATAAATAGTTCAGTATTAAATTGCGAATGGCGGCGTTAAATACGAAATTGGGCAATTAAAAAGTTGTCGAGGGGAGGCGATAACTGGCGCAGTTATTGAAATTGATATAGCTCTTGATTCAGGGATACAATCTGAATATTGGATAAAGGGAGTTTGGAGCGGGGGCGGGCGGGGGTTGTTACTTTCCAGGAATGGCATTTTAATAGTTGATGCTTTTATTAATTAAAATTGAGTCCACGAATAATTTATCAGGTCTGCCGCCTTACGCGAGGGGCCCTAGAGGGGGGGTTTGGCAGGGGTGGGCGGCGCGCGGGGGCGGCTGCCAACGAGTGCTTGGATTACGACGGTGAATTATAAAGGAGGAAATTACCTGTTCTTGCTTTTCTTGCTTCTGGTGGGACGGTCGTTCATCCGAGGCCCCGCGGGCCTTTCTCCTCTTTCACCGATCCCAGATCTTTCAACTCTTCGTTGTGGCTCTGCAACATTTTCAATTATTTACACACGACACAAACAAACAAAAAAATATATATTTGTATAAAATAAGAATGGGAATAAAGAAAACTCGTATTCGCGTTGCCGTTTGTTTGTTCTTTGGGATAACATCAAAGGGAATTAGCGTATAAACATATCGCGTCTCCGGGCTCTTCCTGCCCCAGGCGTACATACTCCTTAATTAGTTGCGCTACATTAAACTACAAAATACCAAAGCTACTCATAATATAGCTTTTATTTCAAGTAATAGTATTCCCCGTATTTGT